TTCTTTACTGTAAACCATTACACTAAGTGTCAGTATTAAGGCTCAGTAGCCTGTTAATAAGCTATAGCTCTGTCGGGAAGAGCGAGCAGGGCCTGGGTGGTGTCAGCCAGACCGAGCTCTTACTGCTGTCTAGAGACCCCGTGCTCAGAGCACACCAGGAGCCTGATCTAACCATTGATCTCCACTGCATTACTTGCACCTACAAGGGGGGAGAGCCGGGGGAAGCTGTCGGGGAGCGTGAATCCATGCCGGCGTCCGCAGCCTGGAGGTACAACACTGACATCTCGCTGGAGAAGGATGCAAGAAGTGATTCTCCTGCCCCGTGACTGTGCCGTATCCTGAATGTAGGTGCCACTGAAGCCTGGCAAGCTTTGGTGGCTGCCCAGGTGGTTATGGATGGGGAGCTGCAGCTACTGAGGTGCACCATCGAGCCGGCCCCGTCGGCGCGTCCTCGCTCCCGTCTCGCTGGTGGTCGGAGTTGGTGTTCCAGGGGCCGAGCTGTAAGATCACTTTCTTGCCTCTGTTAGATCAAGCCCAGCACTCTCTTTTTGTTTTGTTGGTTTTTTTTGGTTTTTTTTTTTTTTTTTGCTGTTACTCCCTTCCTCTCATTGAATCCCGTGTATCCCAGGGTCTGTGCGCATGTGAAACTCCCTTTTCCTAGTCAAAGGAAAGTAGAGTAGAAAGTAGAGCCAATATTGACTGAAAATGCACAGTGCTCAATGCATATAATGCTCCTTTTTTACCAGCTTCTTGAATTCAACTCTTCTTGTCAGCAGGGCAGCTCCTATTTTAATTCTTTAATCTTTTCCTGAAATAAAGATCTCAAAACCAGTATGTGCTTCAGACCTTCTCAGTCCTAATAGCTTTTGTATTTAAAACATACAATTTAGCACCATGAGGCAGATAAATGCATACAAACCAAGGGATGAGGAGCTGGTAGCACTAGATGGTCACAGCCAGCTGAGCAGAGGCTTCCTAGAAGAAGCCTGTGCTGCTTTGCAGGTGTGGAGCTTCATCCCAGAATAAATCTCAAGATGCCACCTGGAAGGTCACCAGGGCTGAAGGAGGCTCCAGCACGTTGGCTTCCCAGCCTGGCTGGGTGCTGAGTGACCTCTTCAGGCTGGGATGTGGAAGATACCCTGGCCTTCACCCAGAGCAGAGCTTCTTCTTGTCCTTCAGGCACTCAGCCAAGGTTGAGGCCAGCAGCTCCCGGTGCTTCCCTGCTGGATTTGGGTCTGGTGGTTGGTACAGGCACAGCTCTCAGAGCCCCACGGGCTGGGGAAGCCACCCCAGTCCTGCCAGGCTGGACCAGACAGCTGCTGGAGTTACCTTCATCCTCCTGCGAGCACAATCTCTTTTTTCCAGCCACCAGACCATCAGGAGGACACGATGTCACTGGACCACGGTGGGAGTCAGGCTCTTGTCCAGCTTGTGTGGCCTTGCCTTGGCCAAGTGTCCAGCTGGGCACCTCGTGGCAGGACCTGGCAGCTGGTCCTGCCCAGAGGAGCCCCTCTTGTCCCCAGGCAGGATGGCAGCACCTTGCAGGGACAGAGCAGCTGTTCTGCTGGGATGCTCTGGGTGTGCATGGAGGTCCTGGAGGTGGCAGCAGGGTAGGAAAGATGCTCATCCTGTCGGACACAAAGCCTTTCCCTCGTCAGCAGCAGCCTCAGGAGTGTGGATGTGCAGTCACTGCATCCCAGTTCTCCACAGCCCTTCCATGGTCTGGGCACTGGAGAACCTGGGCCCTTCCTGCTGTGACCCCCCTGGATCACCTCTCCAGCCACTTCATCCCAGCTGCTCTGCTGTCCGTGGTGAGCTCTGATCTCCTGGCAGAGGCTGTGGGAGGCAGCATGGATTTGGGATGGCACGTGGGCCTTGTCATTGTCACTGCTCTTCCCTTGCAGGATGTCACTGGCTCCAGGAGAACCCTCCTCCTCCTCCTCCTCCTCCTCCTCTTTAGACTTAGGGTGGGACTTTGTCCTTTTTAGCCAAGCAAGCAGAACATCCTGGTCTCCTTCTTGCCATGTGGACCCTGCCCTTTCTTAGACTCCCCAGCAAATCCTGCTCATGTGCTCTAGCTTGTAGGAGCAGGCATTTTCCATGGGGGAATTGGGCTCCTCTGGAAAAACAAACGGAGAATCTTGGTCTGCTGTACAGACAGGGCTGAGCAGTGACCTTGGCATCATCAGGATCAGCTGCTCCCTCTGGGGCAGTGCTTGGGAAGGATGTTTGGGGTGTGTTTAGGGTGGGAGCTGTGAATGCTGGGGGTCACTGAGAGGAAGAGGAGGAAGGAAGGTGCCTTATGCAGCCAAATGTTCTGAACCCTGCTGAGGGTTCTGGGCTCGCTCTGGTGAGCCTGAGCATCTCTCCAAGGCAAGGGGCAGCACTTTACCTGCCTTTACTGTAAAGAAAAAGAACCTGCAGCACCAATAAACAGCCCCAAACTGAAATATTCCTGCTGTATAACAAAAATTTATAGAAAATAAAGGGAGGAGTCTTTTTACTCATAGCAGTGATCCTCAGTTATCCTCCTGCTCCTTCCTGCTCCAGGCTTCATCCATCTTTTGGGATTAATCAGTGGCTATTTAAATTAGAAAGTGTGTGGGCAAGCTGCTGCATTCTGCATCACTCCACACTACTGATAGCACCAAAAAGGGAGGTTTAGGAGAGCTCAAGTGCAGTGAAGGCACAGGTCTTGGAGCCTTGTTGGCTCCAAGTAATCTTATTTTTCCTCAGTCAAATTTTCCTCCCATTTGCACCATCTCCTCTGAGCCAGACAGAATCCTTCTTTAAATGTCACCTTTTCTTTGCTCACATATTAAAAAAAGAAGCAAATTGTGTTCATTTGTTTCAAAAATAGAATTGCTTAGAATTGGTGCTGGCTTGCAAACCAGAAAATTCCCTTTTTTTTTTGGTACCAGAGAACTGGGCTGCAGTAAAAGTGCTCACATTTTGTTCCTGCTCTATTTGATGGCACTTCCACAGGACCTTTGCATATTTGTCCTGGTTTGGATACTCAGTTTGTTGTGGACACTCAAGCACACTCGCTGTGGCTTGCCTTTGCTCTGTATTTTTTTCCAATTTTTTTAGGTAAAAAAAAGCTTTCTTATTCTTCTCTTTTTAAAAAACAAAAGTAATTTAATACCTGTATAGTATTCCAAGCGTGCAGTGTAAATATTTATTCCTCAGCAGTTTGCAGAGGGTTCTCCTTGTGACTGAGTTGTGGGTTTGATTTTTAAGTCTTGTTGTAGCACAGAGCCCCCACGAGTGGGGTGGAAGAGGAGGAACGAGTGTAATGTGTCCAACCCACCCCATCTGCCCTGATAAACTGCTTTTTTGGGGGTTTGAGGACTGTTACAAAAACCTTTTCAAACCTTTTCTGCTGATCTACGCCTTCAGCTTTGACAGTACCCGTCCAAAGATTGTGTACAGTCTGTTTGACCGCTGTAACCTGCTTTGCTATAAATTTGGGGTGTTTTTTTCCAGTCAGAGGACTCAGTAACCTTGTGTTTGACAGCAGCATCGAGGCTGTGCATGTGCAAGCTGTGCCCTACAGAGAGCAGCAACAGCCACAGCCCCCTGCACACACGCCCACCCCACGGCAGCCAGGAGCTGTGCCTCACTGTGTAACCTCAAACCAGTGGAATTACAAATTAAAAAATTAAAAATTCTTGGAGAAGAGCCAAGGCACTGCTGCAGCCACAGGGAAACAACAACCTCAGTGTGAGGCTGCTGAGGAAACAGAGGGTGTGGGATTCACTAGAGAAACCTGACAAGTTGGTGCCAGCTGAGCTAACCCAGCTGGCTCTGAACTCGGAATAATGGGCACAGTTGTCATTATTGTCTTGGTGCTCTCTTCACCCTGCGTGCAGGACAAGAGTTTGTTCTCACTGTTTGTTCTCACCTAGAGACAGCAAAGCATGTAAAGTACTGGAGGCTGTGGTAAGTAGGAAGCAGGAATCCTCCTGCTTGGCCCGTGTCCACCTTCCTGGAGTTCTGGGTGACCTGAGAAGGCCAGGAAGGATGGAGCTTTGGAAGGATGGAGGTCTGGAGGGAGGGAAGCTCTGTGAGGCTGAGGGTGGTGTCTGATGTGGCAGTTCAGGTGTCAATGGCCAGAATTCCTCCAGCTGCCTCGGAGCAGCTCGGCTTCACCCGACTGACCCGCGGTGGGGACACATCTGGGTCACATCTGGGCAGTGTCTGGGGACAGCCCGGGGGACTGTGAGCACCGAGGGTGAGGGAGTCACTTCCCAGAGCTGTTTCTGTGAGGCTGTGGCACAGCAGCCACCCTCAGCTCCAGCTGTGCTCTGCAGCCTCAGGGCTCTCACACATCATTTTTTTCCCCTGCAAAGGGGATGTGGAAGGCTCCAGTTTCTCCATGTGTGAGTTCCTGTCTCCTTCCACTGTCTCCTTCCTGTCCCTTCTCCCTTCCACTCCCAGTTTATTCCAGTGCTTTTTTAAGAGCCACCATTCCTGATCAACTGCTCGCTGTAATAGAAATGTCACTTTTTCTCACTGTATTTATTCCTTACAAACCTTGTGTGGCGTGCTAGGCTCCCCTGGATGTAGCTGATCATTTTTACTTTGTAAATATAATTACCTAACTTTACATTAACTATATGGTAATAAACTATTTTTGCACCACCCTTTGCATGCCGTGTGTGAAAGGTTTATTTCTAAAATAAAGAAGAACAGGGCAGAGGTCAGAGCATGAAAAGGGGGATGGTTTTTACAGTCACACTTCACACAGGAAATGCAACAGGCAGCATACCAACAGCAATAATATATTTTAAGTAGTTTAAATCTAGTGCTGCTGAATGGGATTTACTGGAGATTGACGTTCCCTAGGTGCTTCCATACAGGTAACATAATTTTCTTTCCCCCACGAAAGCTTTCTCAGAACAGAACAAATCTAAAATCTGGGGATGTCTATGGATCATAGATATCTTAATAAGGATTTACAGGAATTGGAATGCAAAAGTCAGATGAGGCTGTTGATGTTTTCTGTGAAAAAGGTTTATTTAACAGTGCCAATCACAGCACTACTGGTAACAAAAATGGTAACAGAATATAAAAACCTCTTTTTCATTTTGAGAGATATTAAGGCACTTGCTGCTCAGTATAAAACAATTCTTACATCGACACTATTTCAAGTTTGAAATTCTTAGGTTTACATCATTGTTCCACCCTGAGCTGTGGGGACAGAGATGTCACCTCCCTCCCGCCGCTGTCCCCACTGGTGCTGCCAGTGAGGGCACACCATGACACGGTGCCCCAGCACCTGAAAGAAGCAGGGTTTCCAGAGCCACCTGAAGTGGGTGACCCAGCTCCAGCCACGTCTGCTGTCCAGATAAACCCTGATCCCAAAGAACCGTTTCTCCCACTTCCTTCCAGACCTCCCTACACTTCCTTGATGGAAGAGAAGGTGTCTTTACCATCTGTGCTCACGCTTTTACACCGGAGCTCTGCTAACCTTTAACCAAAAGAAACATGTACACAATCCAAACTTAAAAACTGTTGCTATTTCCCACGAATTTCCTTTTACCAACTTTCAACAATTAATGCCAACAAGAAATGCAACCGAGGCACTTAATCTATAGAAACTCTTAACTCTGCTGTAGCCCTCTTATCTCTCCTTTCTTCACCCGTGTAGAGGAGCCCTGGGGCTACAATTCCATTTGGAATTGGCTACAATTCCATTCCATATCCCGAGCTGGAAATGTTCCTTTTACCACTGAAACACAGGCTCAGCACTGTATGAACACACGTGGTCTGGGCCAGGGCACAGCAACGAGCCTGCCCAAAGTCTAAATGCCTCTGGATGCAGCTCTGTCACTGTCACACTCACAAGCAAACAGCTGTGTCATTCCCTCTAGCACGGGAATGACCCACGGCAAGGGATCTGTGCCATTTTAGGGCAGAGAACACTTCTCTGGAGACATTTACCAAAGTTACCCCCAGATGGACAAAACAATGATGTCTATACATAATAATAAAATCTGTGGGTGCTACCATGCTCCACTGGCCCTGTGAGGCAGCTCAATCATTTAGTGCCTTTCGGAAAAAAACCTGTAATTGGCAGGATTGTACTCTTCCCAAATCCTTTCGAACTCCTCCTGGAAAGCCTTCACATACTCGGCGTCCTCCACGACCAGCACATTCTCCCGGTTGCTCTGGATGGCCTGCGTGGTCCAGTTGAGGGAGCCTGTGATGAGCATCCTGCGGTCCACGATGGCGAACTTGTGGTGCATGTACCCGCTGTGCTGGTCGTGGCGCACCTGGATCCCTGCAGAGACACACACACGGGGGCTGTGACACACAGCTCGGCGCTCCCCGGGCCCGCAGCGGGGCTCGGTGCCCGGGAGCGGCCTGCGGGGAGGAGCGGCCGGCGCACGAGGCTGGGCCGGGCTCCGAAATGCCGGGACCGAGCCTGCCCCAGGCTCCGAAACCTTCCCCGAACACCGATTCCTCCCCAGGAACCGAAATCCTGACGGCGAGGCCTTCACCACGCACCGAGCCCTTGCAGGGGATGCGGGAACACGCAACACATCCTTTAATCAGAGAATGGTTTGGGTGGGAGGGGATCTCAGAGATCATCCGGTTCCAACCCCCGTTCCAGTGCATTGGCAGGGACACCTTCTGCTGTTTCTCCCCAATATCCCATCCAACGCCGCCCTCTGGCAGTGGGAAGCCATTCCCCCTTGTCCTGTCCCTCCAGACCCTCACCCAAAGTTCCTCTCCAGCCCTCCTGGAGCCCCTTTAGGCTTGGAAGGGGCTCTGAGGCCTCTCTGGGTCTTCTGCAGGTGAACACCCCCAGCTGTCCCAGCCTGGCTCCAGAGCAGAGGGGCTTTAACCCTTGGGAACATCTCTGTGGCCTCCTCTGGACTCGCTCCAGCAGCGCCAAATCCTTGTGAGCTGTGGGCCCCAGAGCTGGAGGCAGCTCCGCAGGAGGAGTCTCATGGGGTGGAACAGAGGGGGACCATCAGCTGCTGGACCCTGCCTGGCAGAGGGGACAGGGGCGGCAGACCTGGCACCACAAGGCTTTGTCTGTAACTGCAGCAGTGACCCAGCGCTGGCTCCGGCACACGGCAGCTGCAGCACTCGCTGCTCCCACCTCGCTCCCAGCTACACGCTGCCCAGCCAGGCAGAAATCGCACTGGAATAAAGAATTATCCTGCCTCAATCAGTTTGTCTCTGAGGCGTATCGTTTGGAGGGAAGGAGGGTGGTGAAAGATGTCTGCAGACATGATTTTTTGTTAATTAAGTTGTGCACATTCCAGCTCTCGCTGACGGCACAGGGAGCAGCCGCAGCCTCACCTGCAGGAACCTGCCCAGGCAATCATTTGGCAATCCCACGTACAGATGTGTTCTGGCAGGCAAGCACAGCTGGGTGTAGGTTCACTGACTTGGCAGCTTTCCCCCTTCTTTCCTGTGGGCATTTTTGTAAGTTTTAGTGGTTTCCTTGCCCTGGCTCTAAACGGAGTCTGCTTGTCCATGACAGCCTGGTTTCTTCCTGGTTTTCAGGATGGAGAGGGATCAACATCGTGCACAACTCACCAGGAGCAAGGGAGAAGCAGCAGCCTCGGGCTCGACCTTGTGCCCAACCCTTCCACTGTTTTGGAAGGAACCACTAGGTCAGGTTTTGATGCTGCATGTCTTGGGAGAGCTGTTTTCTTAAAAGACAAAATCAGTTCAGCAATCAAGAAGCTCTCAATGCCAAATGATGTCTCACCTGCTCTGTTACACAGCTCTGGACTGGACCAGAATAGTTTTAAAATACAGGTTACTAGGTCAGAAACTAATACAAAGCTAAGAGGAAAAGACCTGTATTAAATTCTCTACATTAGATCTAAGCTAATGATGCAGGAATTTTGTGGATCAGCTGCTGCTTTCCCCCACCACAACACAAATACACACTGAAAATAAACACAAAACCAGGCTTTGTTCATTTTACAAAAATAGCTCTTATGAGATTTAATGCCTGTCTCCATTTTACAGATGTTCCAGACAAAAATCAACCTCCGTATTTTATATATAAGAACAGAACTTGTGACAAGCTGGAACATCCTCTCTGAGCTTGAGTGAGTGTAGAAGGTCACCTGGGTAAAACCTGCCTTTAGCTTGTTCAAAATATCTGTGGTAACGTCAAGTGTTCCCAATAATGATCCAGAAAAACAAAAAGGAAAGACATAAATCCCAGACTTCACAACAGAAACAGAGATTCCTTACAGAACAGCTAAGGAATATCTGGCTAGGTAATTAAAAAATGCACCAATGTTTTCAGGAACTATTAAGCAAAAATGGCTACTATAGAGTTATATAAAGGGAGCACCTACAGGTTGAATCTCTTCTGCTTTATTAGGAAGCTAAAAAAGACAGAAGAGAACCTTATCCTGGCGAGGTTATCTTCATTACCTGCAAGTTCTGCAACCACAGGCAAAACAAGGCGAGTATTTTCCCCTCTGAGAGGCAAGCAGGCTGCGTTTTGAGACTTCTTATTTTACAATTCACCCTCCCAGACAAGATTTCCAAAGCAAATGCTAAAATCGTCTCAAGTTAAGATTATAAATAAATAAAGAGGAGTGACAGGACTCCCATGGGATATCCTGACTTATGCTACAGCAGAAAATAGTCTCTTAAATCTGAGCACGAAGTGGTTTGAAATAATTTACATGTGATCCATACCCTGTGACGTGCCTCTTATTTTTGGTTCTTGTTCTCTCAGGCATTGAGGAGATTTATGTGGGATTTCAGTGAGATTAACCATATGCACTCCCAGGAGTTCTGGATGTTGTCACAGGCCTGCCAAGGAACATAAAGGTGAGGCCTGCTGCCACACCACGACGCTTTAATGAGGACAGGATGGGATTTTAATTAATTTAGCTGATTCTTTGAGCGTTGCTGTGTTTTAGTCTTGAGTGTGCACGTCTAGATTGAGAGCTGAGTTCCTGGGGAGACAGCAGCACTGTGGATTAGCACTTATTAGTCCAGTCTCACAGCAAGTAGAAAAGACTCAAGTCACTCTTCAAGTTGGTTTGAGGACCAGGAGAATAGTGATAAAGCCTCACTATCCACCTAAAGCACAAGCTGCAGGCTCAGCAGAGGTAACCAGGGGTCCCTGCCCTTCTCTGAAGGCAGCAGGGAGGGTGGGCACCCTTCAATTCCGGCACTCCGAGGACGTCGGGCTGCGAACTGTTGACATCAGGTGGGACTTGTAGGTCTTGCTCAGGCCGGTCATCCAGAACTTGAGAAGTTTGACATTGTCCTCTTCTGCAGCTCCCAGAATGCTCAGCAGTTTTTGGGTATCCTCCTTGGGTCTGCTGTCCACTTTAGTGAACTTAAAGAGGACTTTCACTTTACTGCAGGAACAAGAGATTCCTGTCATTATCAAATGGACTCACACGCCATCAAACAGGGAACAAGGAGGAACTGGAGCTTCTCTTGGCACCTACTGCAACTAAATGTTAATAAAAGCTTCAACCAGTGTTTTATTGAAACTATTCTCATGCTTTGATGAAGAAGGGTGATTAGTTAGGGAGATGACTCATTTTCAGTAATAATATTTCTAGTTTGGTTTTTCCATTCTAGCGGAAAGTAGAACAATTAATTGTGACAACTGGGAGGCACAGCCAGTGCCCATCTGCCTTCAGGTAAATTCACAAAGTCGTGATGTTCCATGAATTATTCACATGACTGACTGGTCTTCCTTTACAGCTACCTGCACCTCTGAAATGCAGTGCCTGAAGGCAGAACCCAGGCATGTGTTTGGGTGTCACCTGTGCAGGGGTATGGCCACACTGACAGGCACGGAGGGATCTGCATGTTTAATCCTCCTAACCTAGGTCAGGCAGGCAGGTGTTGTCATGCAGGTAACCTACAGATGTGTGAGCTGAGGCATAAAGGTTAAGAACTGCTGAAAGCCAAAAAGAGAGTTAGGACTAGAGTTAGGAAATTCTTAACTCCTGACTTAATTTGTTCCTGTAAATCCAACTGAACTGCAGCAGAAGCCACCTGACTGAAGTGTGTCCTGCACTCTGCTGTTGCTGTTCCAGCAGCAGTGCCAAGCTGCTCCTCTGAAAGCAAGGGAGCTGTACTCACTTCATCCACTCCTCCTTCAGGCAAACAAGGCACTGATCCACAACATCCACTGAGAGGTTCTGGTTGGTCAGGGCAGCTTCGATCTTGTTCAAGATTGTTGGGCCAACTGCAGGAGCAGAAAAAGGGGGAGAGGGTGAGAAAGAGGACACACAAGCTAAAGGTTACTGCTTACACCTTTACTACTAATAATTGTTAACTGTATCCCCCAGTGGCCTGCTGGGATTTCATTTCCATGGAAGAGAAGCTAAAGATCATCCCATTAGAAAAACATCTGATCCAAGAAATGACATGGAACTTAGTGAAGGGATATCCAAACAGGTTCAGGGGCCTTTTTTTTCCTTCAGACACATTTTTGAACTTTTAGCTTTTGTTGTGCCCTTATCAAAAGATCATTAAAAAAACAAGGTTATGAAAAAACCTTCATGCTTCCTTGTAAAAAATACAAACACATATAAAAATATAAACCCCCAACTTATACTTGATTTAATGTTCCTCTTGTTAAGGGCAGTTCCAGGATATTTAGTGAAAAAATAAACCAGCAACCAACCCAGGGCATTCCTGGACCACTTTTTGGAAGCCCCTAGGAGACTTTTTTTCCAGCAGTCCATGGCCTAGTAAGCTTGATGCTGTGGTGGAGAAAAGACCTTGCAGTGACTATTTTTGTGCAGAAGTTTCTGGACATGCCACTAACTGGATGGAAAATAAACTGATGTATTTATACATGTGGGATCAACAACAGGAAGAGCACTGTGCAGAGAGCAAGTCTCTGCTTTGCATCTCTGTCTTCAGGGACAAAGAGGAAGGATGAGCCATCTGCTGTGTCTTTTGAGACACTCAGTGAGGCCAATTCATCTAAATTGAGACTTCCCAGGAAAGACAAGACTGACTCAAATCACCTCTAGGTGCAAGTGTTCAACTGCTAGAAGGAAGTAGGTAAAATTAAATAGAAAAGTCTGGGTATTTCTCTATCAGTTATATTTGACTACCAAGTGGAACACGGAAAATCTGTGATGTCATGGTCCTTACAAGTTAGCCTTACTCAAAACAAACACAAAAGTATCAGGATTGAAAGTGCTCACTGTGGGTTACAGAATTTCCCTACAATTTTTCTTATACCTATGTTACAAAATCCATTTCTCATTTATGAAAATTAATAGGCAAAATGCTAATCTGGTAGAGCAAATCTTTTATAATTGAACAATCTGTGGTGAACCTCACCTCAAGCAGCTAAACCCCAGCTGAATATTGACCTGGCTTCTACCCACACCTCTTTAAGGGCCAGTACCTGAAAACCAGTTAAAGATCAAGATGCTCTTTTAATCTCAGTGACAGAGGCTCTTTCTGCTTCCAATCACCCACCTCGATCTGCTGCAACGGGGCTCCCACTGGTGACAAGGAACTCGTACTTGTTGAGGGACTGCTCATCATCAAACAGGGTTGGGTAGAGGCTGGAGCGGGTGGCAGCACGGACTTCCACGAGGACTGCAAACTCTGCAGCAACAAGAGCCCAAAAGAGCATGAGCTGTGCTAGCCCAGATTCTAAAACACAGCTGCAGACCCTGCTTTGCCTAGGGAAGGTGTCACATCTTTCAGTCACTGACCAGGCAAAGACACGGGGAAAACAAAATGAAGTGGTTCGGGCTTTATTTAATGCAGCCAATACTTATTAAAAAAAAAAATGAAATTCTAGCATCCTTTAACATGATATGACAGGAAGGGGAGAGGGTTCTGCAACAGGTTCTTACCAGATGACAGGATGTGGGGGGGGATTTGGACGTGTGGGCTCAGGCCCAGGAAGTTGCAGCGATAGGCCTCCTCGTACTGGTCACTGTAGGGGATGATCCGCACACAGCCGATGGGCAGCATCGTCTGCAGGGGGAGAAAACAGCCAAGAGAGACTCTGCAATTAAACAGCTAACTACGATTCTCTCCCTGACTTCCAGGGCTAAACCTGGAGCTTAGCTTCCAGGCTGAGACCTGGAGCACTGCTTAGGCAGATGCTCCTGATTTGGGGGATCAAAGTAAACCACTCAGCTTGGGAGCCCCTGCAGTTGCTGAGGACAAGCAAGATATCCAGAGGTTGAGGGGATTTTGTTTTGTGCATGTTTTTTGGGTTTTTTGGTTGCAGTTTTTTCAAAACCACATAATTTAGAACACACTCTTCACAAGATTAGATGTCACGGCAGATCATTATAAAAGCTGGAGTAGTAAAGAAATACATATAAAAATATGCAGCCAAGAAACAAAGGAAAAGGTTTCTACCCGTAGGACATCAAAGGCAGACTGGACAAGATCCATATCCTGAGCTTTCCAGATGACCTGGTTCCCCATCAGAACATGCCAAGCCAGCATTCGGAATGCTGATGCCCCAAGAACCTGGAAAAAAAAAAAAACCAAATCATTCTGCATTGCTTATAAAAATGAGTGAAATATCTAGTTTGTCCTGTTAAAAATATGAGTGACATGTAGGAAAAAAAGCTAGACCAGAACAGCAGGAATAGACATGGAAATTTAGCACATGAACCTTGGGCACATGAACCTTCCCCCTCAGCCAGGTCACTGGGAGCACAGGAGAAAAGCAAGATCCATACAGAATAATTTATTCTATTTGTAAATTATTTTTCCCTCTGAAACACTCTTTTTAAAAGCAAATATTACTTGGCTTTGAAGATGCTGCACAACCTCTGTATTAAATTACTGTCACTGCTCTTGGGAAGAAGAGAAGTGCAGAATTTGAGAGAAATCATCTGACCCCACCCCACATGACTGATGATCACCAGGGGCCCACGTGAGGAAGGGAGCGTGCCCAGAGATGCAGTTCACATCATGTTCCTAGCTGGGCAGGCACTGTGCTGAACACAGCACCAGGGAATGTGCAGATTGCAGGAAATAAATGTATTTTTTAAAAAAACCAACACATTATCAGGAGAAAAGAGCCTGTGAACTCTGCAGCCTTTGTTACCTGTCTCATGTGCCTGAGAGAGCGGAAGACAGACAACCTTCTGTGAGCTACGTTCCAGCTGTTGCAGTCTGGCATCAGAGAGGTTTCAGGGGAGCTTTTGGACAGCTCCTGCCCTTCCACAACATCTGGCTGAGAAGAAGGCTTCTCTTCTTCCTCAGAACCGTCCCAGCCTTCTGACTCTTCTTTCAGATCTAGCCAAAAAAAAAAAAAAATAAAAAAAAAAAAGAAAAAGAAAGGGAGATTGGTCATAAAAATTGCTGCTCTCTAGGAATGGAAAGTGGAAAGTGCTCACATGCTGCAGCCATGTGATTTTGGGTGTATGTGGGAAGAGAAAGCTCAGAACACAGTAACTGAAAGTACTGGCAGCAGCACAGACATACTTAAGTGTTAATTCAGATAAAAAATAACTACTGAAGGGTCAAGAAGGAATTTTCATCTTCTACAGAACAGAAAGTCACATTTTTTGATCAGCTATGTTCTCTATTTTTGTTTTAAAGGTTATGGACAAAACTTTGTAGATTCTAGTCTACATGGTTAATAAAGTAATTCAACACAGGAAAAAAAAAACCCAAAAAACTATGATCCTTTACTTTTAGAAAGTTTGTAGAAAAAGAAGCAAGAAATCCATATGTTGTGACTGCAAATCCTTCTGGCTGTACAGATTCACTGGGAGAGCCAGCCCAACCACAGAGAACAACAATGATGATGCAATTCTGCTGTTCAAGTGACAAACACCACGTGCAGAGAGCCTTTGAGGTGCCTGGGTTTCTCATTCCTGTCAGAGCCATCTCCAGATGGAAGAGTACATCAGCTGCTGCAGAGACTACCAGGAAGGTGAAGCTGATGAGCAATGGCTGTGCTTAAGATGCTGATCAAAGGACTCAGTGTTTCATCATCTAAAGCATTCTCAGAGGGTTTTTGAAGCTCTGGAAACCTCTGTCTCACCTGCAAGTTTTTCCATCTGAACGAGGGTGTCTTCTGTGGGTGCTCCCTCCAGAAGCTTCTCCGTAAGCCGGCTACCACAAGCCTTCAGCAGCCTGGAGAGGATTGAGAGGAAGAGAAGCAGTCATGCAGCTTGCCAGGTGCAACAATCCAGTAAGAAACTTGATGTCATGATGTCAAACAAAACATCCAAGCACTAACCACTGTGTGTTACCTTCCAGCACATCCCTGTGCTTTCCTCAGTGTGGGACTATCAGTCCTTTTTACAGTCCCTACCACATGAAGTCACCCAGATCACAGCATTCTGCAATTTCTTTGTGCAGCATGCTTATCCCCATCCAAATCACATGCCAGTGTTGCAACCCTCCCTGTGGCATCTTTCCAGGAAGTTTAATGAGCCAGTCAGGCACTGGAGCAACTGGGCTCTCTCAGAGCCCAATGGTTGCACTTCCCAAGCTGCTGATCCCAGCACAGAGGCACTGCCAGGTGAACCACCATGGTCTGTCACATGTGAATTCCAGCTGCAACACACTGGGGGCAGGAGCATCTTTTATTCCTTTCTTCCACACTGCAAAACCTTTCCATCTGCATAGCCAGGGCTTCTATTAGCTACCATGTTAGTTTTACTTCACAGCAAAAAGACATTTTTTTTTGTCCTAAAGACATCAGCGTTGGCTCCTTCCGATTCAGACGCTACTCAGCAGAGTCTAAGTATTACCTCAAAAAAAACCCACAAAAAACAAAACCCAAACACTCAAATCCCATTCCCACTGTTTGAGGACATGGCAGTATCCTGCTGAGGAAGGAGCTGCCCGAGCTGGGCACAGCAGTGGCATTACCAGGCGAAGGAGGTGTGCAGGCAGGCCCAGAGGTTCTCGTCGTTGGTCAGGGACGTCAGGGAGCGCGCGGCGTTGCCGTTGCGCTGGTGCAGGAAGGGGGTGAAGGCCGTGTTCATGCGCTGGGCACGCTGCGGGCACCCAAACTGCTCTGCTTCAAACACCTGCACACACAGCAAGGGCAGCTCACAGACTGAAAGAGGTTCAGTGTTTGCAAAACTCAGGCAAAATAACCTCCCCAAAAATACCAAGTGAAAAGGGTGTGTCAGACACACTCATCCAGTCATGGGAAAACAGAGAGAAGGGACATCTTATTCTTAGATGGACTAAAATTATCACTAAGTTAACACTTGTGCTCCAAAATCATTGTCCTTCCCAGATTTACTTCATTACTTTTGTAACAAAGCTGCTGTCTACAAGGCCTGTGAAAAGCACTGAGTGTTTCAAATTCCTGTTCCTTCCCTCCTACATCCCCAGACACAGAATCCTGGAATGGTTTGGGTTGGGAAGATCAACTTGTTCCAATCCCCCTGCCACAGGCACCTGCCACCTTCCATGAGACCAGGATGCTCCAAGCCCTGTCCAACCTGGCTGTGAACACTTCCAGGGATGGGGATACACATCCCTGGAGCCTTGTGTCAATCTTCATGACCACCCTGCCATGAGCTGGATCAGCTTTTTGACTCAGCTGTCAATCAGGCATCATGATGCTGCACTGACCCTGAGTCACAGGGACTCTGTGCACTGACCCACCTTCAGTGCTTTGCCCTGGAGCTCATCAATGATGCCTCTGATTTTTCCCAACAAGAAAGGCCAGGAGTTGATGAGGTAAATCCGGTCCATCATGATGGTGATGATGCTGTACCAGCGCTGGAAACCTCGGGCCAGGCTGTCTTTGATAAAGAAGGTGTGGCTGAACACAAAACCATGCTGCTCATCTCCGAAAAAAATAGGGCCTTCACGTCCTGGGCAGACCTGAAGGGAAGGGACATGCACCAAAATTATTAAACACATCACAGAGTAACCAACTAAACAGCTCCCTGAGCTTTAACACCCACTTGGTGAATAAATGAAGCCTTTTTACAATACTACCCCAAAAGTGTGGTCAAACAGCCTTCCAGAGATATTCTACAAACATTCCAAATCCTTCAATTTAACTGTATTTTAAGAATTCAGCTCCATTCAACTACAATATTGAGAATCCAGAAGGAATTTTGCTGATCCTGACACACAAATGTTTATTAATATGTGAGGTTTTTCCTTCATGTCTATTAGAGGATGAATATTAATGGTTTACAAAGGGCACTCAACACCACATTCAGAGGTTTTTACAAAAAAACAGGTTATCTTACAATGACAATAATAAGCACAAGGAACAAAACCAAGAAGGGCACATTTTTACCCTCACAAAGTGAGAGGAAGGAACCCCTGAGGTCACCAAAGATCAAGCTAAAAAATACCACCAATCTTGGAATAAACAGACTTCTGTGTCTGTCTTTCCATCTGGTTCCCTGCATGTTTCAGTCTGCACAGAGCAGCCAGGACCAGCAAAGGAATATCTTGGATTTGAAGTGATACAGGAGGCATAAACAGCATTTCCCTGTCCTCCAAGGCAGGTACCTCACAGCTGAGGCTGCGGACGCAGGCCTGGCGCACGATGCTGAACAGCTGGGGGTGGTTTGGGTGCTGGTGGCTGACGTACTTGATGGAGGTTTCCTTGTCGTGGCTGACGTAGCCCGGGTGTCCTCCTGCAAGAGAGCGGCAGCCCTGAAGGCAGAAAAGCAAATCCAGCCATAAATGAGCGTGCAGGTATCTCAGGTTTCCAAAGAGCTCTGACTGTTCCCTCCAAAACACCGTAAAATGTTATTTACACACACACAGAGGAACACAAAGACTCAGAAGACAAGGAAGGTGAGTCAGGGTCAGGATTTGAACTCTGCTCCTCACACAAAACTCTGATATACTTCCTCTGCTCTTATGGTCATTTTCCACTATTTAATTCTACTGGGAATTTGGTGCAGGTAAAGTTCAGTTACAGCAGCTGTGAAACCAACTGGCCAAACAAAACTGGGCACAACAGAAGGGAAAGTAAATAATAAATATGTCAGAGGAAGTACTGATAGAAGACAAGTATGAGAATCATAGAATGGTTTGGGTTGGAAGGGACCTTAAAGATCATCTCATTTCACCCCTTCCCATGGGCAGGGACACCTTCCACTATGCCAGGCTCCAAACCCTGTCCAACCTGGCCTTGGACACTTCCAGGGATGGGGCAGCCATAGCTTCTCTGGGCAGCTTGTGCCAGGGCCTCACCACCCTGAGAGGGAATAATTTTTTAGTATATCTAACCTAAATGTTCCCTCTTTCAGTTTCAACACACAGCTCCTTGTCCTATCAATGCAGTTCCTGATGAAGAGTCCCTCTCTGGATTCCCTGCATGCCCCTTCAGACACTGGAAAGTTGCTGTGAGGTCTCCACACAAACTTCTGTTTTCTAGGAACAGCCCTGAAACAACTGAGAATATACCTTTTTCCTATTGTTTTAATTGTTTTTGCAATTTTGTTTCCTAACCAATACTGCTCTTAAAATTACTATTAATGAACTGACCTAATCTAACAAAGTAAATGCCCTTTGAGAATGAGGAAAGCATTTCTGAGCCACAAGACAGGGACACCGCGGGCTCTCCCAGGCCTCGCTGCTGCCAGTGCTGCTCTGCATCCCACCGGAGCAGCTGGCCCTAAGCTCAGCCTGAGCCTGAGACCATGGAGCCAACCTGTGGCCGATCCCCACCTTGTCACCCAGAGCACAGTGCTGGGTGCCATGTCCAGTCTTTCCTTAAACACCGCCAGGGATGGTGACTCCACCACCTTCCTGGGCATTCCACTGATCCAGGACCAACCTTCTGTTTGCTCATGGGATGGCCTCGAGCAAGCCAACCTGCCATGCCCAGCTGCTGGACACTGATCCAGGACACCTCAGGCCCCACGGGGGTGAATGGGGCTGGAGCAACCCCTCACGCCCAGATACCTCCAGTATCACAGGGACAGGGTTCAGGGAATCTCAGAATGGTTTGGGTTGGAAGTGACCTTGAAAATCACCCAGTACAACCCCCTGCCACGGACAGGGACACCTTCCACTGTCCCAGGTTGCTCCAAGCCCTGTCCAGCCTGGCCTTGGACAGTTCCAGGGATCCAGGGGCAGCCACAGCTTCTCTGGGCACCCTGTGCCAGGGCCTGCCCACCCTCACAGGCCAAATTTCTTCCCAATATCCCGTCTAACCCTACTGTCAGTCTGAAGCTGTTCCCCCCTCTCCTGTCACTCCAGACCCCTGTAAACAGTCTTGCCCCATCCTTCCTCTAAGTTCTATTTAGGTACTGGAAGGCCACAATTAGGTCATCCCGAAGCCCTCTCCCTTCTAGGCTGAACAATCCCAATTCTTCCAGCCTTTCCTCAAAGGACGGGTGCTCTTCCCTCTCATCAGGTTGGTGGCCTCCTCTGGATCAAGGCTGAGCTCCCACAGAGCAGAGCTCCGAGCCCGGAGCCTCAGGCCGGAACGGGCCGGCCCTGCTTAGCGCCCACGGACCCGAACGCCTCAGGCCCTGGGCCGGCCTGTCCCGCCGGGTCCAGTGTCCGGTTCCCCGTGCCCCGTCACCCCGGCCCGGCCCCGGTTCCCCGTGCGCGGAGCCCCCGCTCACCGCGGCTCCCCCGGCCCGTCCCGACTCCGCGGGCGCCTGACACCGACTGACCCACCGCCCGTACCACCCCCACCGCCAGCTGAGGGGGGAGACAGGGACAGACAGATCCCCGCCCGCGCGCCCGCCGCCGCCGCGGAGAAGGGAGAAGATGGAGAACAAGGTAGGAGAGAGAGCGATGAGAAGTCCGTTCGTACCGCAGGACTGAGCTGGCCGTCCCGCCGCCCTCCCGGGGATCCGCCACCCCCCGGCTGCCGCAGTGGCTCGGCCCAGGGCCGCCCTGTCCACAGGGGCCGGGCGGAGCCATTACCTCAAGGAAGGGGGAGATATGAGGACGTCTGGAAGGCGCATCCTCCCCTCCGGCGCTACATCTGCCCAGCTGCCACAGCGCAGAGTGGACAGAGGTCTCCGATCACCGGAGACACGAGAAGGGACGAGCGGCTGCCAGCGAGCCGCGGGTGCCACACCGGGAGCGGGCCGCGCTCCCCCCGCGGGGTGGTACGGGCCGCGCTGTGAGTCACGTGACCTGCGGGCGCTGTGAGGGGACCCGAGGTGGCCGCGGGCGGAGCCCCCGGAGGAGCCGGGACGGGGACGGGGACCGGGACACAGGGATCGGGACCGGGACGGGGTTGGAGTCTGGCGCGTCAACAAGCTTCGCCATCAGCTGCCGCAGAGCCCTTCCCGGGACTGTCCCTGGCCTCAGGGCGGTGCCATGTTCTCCGCAGGCTCGGTGCGACTTCTCCATTGGAGACTCAGCACCCACCGTCTTCGTTAATTCCTTAAAAGCGCTTAAAATGTAAGATTATGGCAGATGAAGGTTTCGAAATGTTGTTGTTTCCCGATTTATAAAGCGGCTTTGTGGAAGTTTGCACAGGTACAGCCCGGGAAGGGCAGGGGACAAACGCCCAAGTTAAACCTGTTCAGGCTCTTCATTTCCATTAAACTACTCCGGTTTCTCTTCAGGGTATCAAGTTTAAGTATTAAAGGATTATTTAGCTCTAAGAATGTATGATGGAAAGCTAAACCAAATTCCACGTGAACTATTAGTCTTCAAAATAATGTACCAGACTCCTCCCTGGCCCTTACAGAGCTTTAAATACCTGAATCTGAACAAAAGTAGTAAATTTTCAAGTAGGTAACAGCATAGATTATTCAACTGAGTAAAATTTGTACTTTAATGCCAAGAAAGAGCAGCTATTGCTGATACCACTGCAAGACACACCTCTGGATCCAAGCACAGCCACACACAGACAATAATTATGTCTCTGATTAAAACAATAGCCAGATGGTCAGCAAGATGGATTATTACAGAAACACCGAGCTCAGACACAATCCCAGAATGGTTTGGGTTGGAAGGACCTTCTGGACCATCCCATTCCAAGCCCCTGCTGTGGGCAGGGACATCTTCATTCACCAGGTTGCTCAGAGTAAAATCATTCCATCCAAAATCCCAAAGCCCATCTCAAGGACCTGCAGCAGCACTTCTCAAGAAAGGCACTAAAGAAAGATTATTTCTACTTGGAGTTGCTCAGCAGAGCTCTGAGAAGCCACCAGCAGGGCTTGAACACCTCTGGAGCAGAGGGCACTGCCACGCACAGCAGGCAACCAGCAGCCTCCCCAGTCAGCCAAAATCAGCTCCTGAAAAGCAACCAGAATGAGATCCCCCCCCAAAAAAACCCGAAGGAAACCCCAAATACAAAAGACCTACAATCTCATTTAAGACAAACTAAGAACGACTGGTTTGTTATCTTTATTTTCCAATAGTACATTTAAACAGCTTCTCAGGAGTGAGCTCCAGGGCCAGCGTGGCCACACGGAGAACATTTCCTGGGTTATACAGATGGCCTTTGACAACACAAACACGGGGCTGTGGCTGTGCTGTGGGACACACAGGGGAGCTCTGGAGGAGGAGGAGGCAGCTGGAGTTACACCATGGAGAGATGGCTCAGCAGAGGTCACGCCCTGGGGCTCCTCAGTGGCACAAAACCAGCAGTGGGGGTTGGACACAAACAGCTCCCAACCCTTCCTTCTTAGAAACATTTCAAAATCTCACCGTGACTGGCCTAGAGACCCCTCCTGTGGCTAGGAACTGCAGCTGCACTTCAGAAGTGCATCTTGTGTCTTTGCTAATTAAAATGCATCAAAATCAGAGTCAGATATCAAAGCATGCACTCAGTATTCCCTGGGCACATCTTGTGACCATGCAGGATGGGAAGGAACAGCCACAGCACCTCAGAGTCCAAGCTGGGAGCAGCACAGCACGCAGTGTTCCTAGATTTCAGCAAAAGTCCTTCCCTGCAGTAAATGCAAATTAAAACCAGAAAGCCCAAGTGTTCTCGAAGCCTCTCAGCTGACCACAGCCCAGGCAATTAGCTCCAAGACTTGGAAGGAGCTGCTTCATTAAAAATCTGACTTAATTTCAGCGCTATCTCAAAACATGCAGATGCCAGGCCATGTGTGTTTATCAAAGTAGGACTTAAAAGCCCTTCCCTGGAGCACTTTTGGTGAATGCTTTATCTACTGATTCTACAGGTGGGACCTGACTTTGAATTTCTAACAGAATTCAGACATTAATAGCACAACTATCCACGCCAGAAAAGGAACCTCAGCAGTTCTCTAAAAGCATCTGCCCTCTTAAAAATCAGATATATAATGAAATATATCACTTAAAACTATTACACAGCTATTTTTGCCATCCTTTTGATGTGAGCATGGATTTGTTTTATCTACTTTGGGCAAGAGAAGAGAAAAATCTAGAGCTATTCACCAGCTGCATGGATTAGTTTGTTTCTAATTCCACAGCTGGAAAACCGTCCTGCAGATCTCAGCAGGTAAATCCATGTTCACCAATAGGAACTAATAGTGTAAAAATGGACATTCCTGGTTTTTTTCTGACTCTATGACAGCATCCTGAATACATTCTCCCCTGGCAAGGGAGCCATTGGCAAGGAGAGTTGAACCAGGCACATTTCTGGATGGGTGGGGTTTGGGGTCATTTGTTTGCAGTCCCTTCTGTGAGTGCCACATGTGGCTGTGACAACAGCCCTGTTTTGGGCTCGAGCCACAGCATCACTAATTACTCATTTAACACTTCCATGGGACCAGAGGGGAAAATTGTGTATGTTCAGCATTTAAATCACTGCAGGATTAATTAGGATAAAAACCTTCAAAATCATAGATCTCTTCTAGTTACAAGACTTGTGAGTTATGAAAAAACCCATGATTTTGCCTAAAGATCAGACAGAAAAGTTGTCCCAATGGAATTCTCTCAGGCAGGAAGTGATGAGCTGCTCACACTATAGACCCCACTGTGTTCCCTACTAAAATGCTATTTTATACTTTTAAAAACATCCTTCACCACCAACCACAAGCTGGGACACCTCTCTTCACCAGAAGGCAGCACCCTGCTGCCACAGGGGCTCTGCTAGACTTGTGACACCGGTTTTAAGTGAAAACCCCAACACCTCTGTATCAGCACTGGAAGCACAAATGGAATATTTTCAACCACAGGTGACCTCAATACACACAAACTTCACACAGCAAGAGTCAGGAATGCTCTGCTCCCACCTGGAAAAAAGCTAGCAGGGTAGCAGGAGCAAGCAGCTCCTGGTTAGGTGTTTCAGTAGGAAGCAGTGGCTGCTGAGCTTCTAGTTTTCTGACTTGATGACAGGTTTATTTCTGCCTGACAGGAAGGTGTTTGAACAGTGAGAATCTTCAGATATACAAGAACAACAGAAAATTAAACAGCCCGTTGATTTAAGGGGTGAAGCACTTTAAAGAATCCAATAACAAAGTTTAAAATAGTAAATTAAAAACCAAGTACCATTCCAACACATTATATCTGAATAAAATCCTGCATTTTGAGAGCTGTATAGAATTCTATTTATGTTCCATGCAGAAATACTGGTTTCCACCAGAGAAACTATCAGCCTGTTGAATACCTTCACTCCAGTTGCACAGGAACAAACATTTAAATTTCTTTCAGTGTAAACAACTTCCTATCTAGAATCCTCCAGAACACCAACGTTTTCCAAATATCCTTTTGTTTAGGTCTAGTAAGTTTCATCTAAGAGCAAATAATATTAGCAGATATTTTGCAATAGAAACTTAAAATCATAAACAGCTGTCATGTATGTTTTCCATATATGATTCCTACTGTGCAGCAAACTTCCTTACAAGGACAGGTTGACATCCTCATCCTTTTGGGAAGAACAGTTCTTATTTCCTCATTTAACAGACAGCACCAGCTACACTGGGCATATGCAAATTCCCTACATTATGGTTTGCTTGAACTCCACCCCTCTGCCCCACCACACATATGATAAATCTGCACTTTGAGCCAACTTTAAATACAGAATAATGAACCAAGAATTATCTTGTAAGTGAACCAACACTAGTTTGTATTCTTCCCTGAATAACACTTTCTTTTGCAGAAGAGGAGACTGCTACAGAAACACGGCAACATTCAAACCCTTTAAAACAAAAGGTAGATTATTTAATGCATTAACAATGTTAATCTGAAGATAAATAAATCCACAACAGACTTTCAAGTTTCTTTTGAGATTTCCTTTTTCTTTGCAGAGAATATTTCTGATATTATACAGTACTGAGAGGGTGTTCTTTTATTTTCTTAATGTCCAGGTGAAAAGCAAAGCTCAGTTCTCTCTGCTCTCTTTGTGGAACTCCTCAATGCCCTGCTCCAGGCGTGATTCTTTCATAAGCTTTTACTTGAAAGCGGAGTGGTGAGCAACATTAATTTCAAGAATAACTGGATGGTTTGGTCCCTGAGTCATCTTCTTGAGAGCCCATACTCTGAAAGGAAGAGTTAGTTCTGTTCAGAAACAGGTCTGCAGGCTTGAGAATGACAGTTTTTTGAAGTGAACAGGCAGGAAAATAAAGTGCCTATGAAATAACATGCATTTAATTTTCTGGTTGAAATCACTGCAGGATTAATTAGGGAAAAGCACCTTCAAAAATAATAAATTATCTTTACAATGTGTCATGATGTTTATGCACATATTATTAATAATGTGTAATAACAACACCATAAATACTGACATTCAGTACAACATACTCACTGCACTGAATGAATCTCTCACATACTCTTACAAGACATTAAATCCATTACCTTCTGCACAAACTGAGGGTTCACAGTGATCTCTTGATCCATGGCTTTCAGTCGTTCGTCAAGCTCTATACATTTCAGCATCTTAAAAATACGTACGAAATTGATTACTTTGTCCAGCTTGTACCTGATCTTCAACACATTTCACGGCTGTGCCATGAAATTTTGCCACCACTCAAGTTCCACATCAAAATGTTCTCATCCCTCACCTCCCAAACAACAGTGTCAGATCATTTTTTATCCCCTTCATTTGATCCATGTCTTCCTAACAGGCCATTTTAAGGCCACTGATAGACAGTCCCCTGAGGCTCAACCACCTTAACCTACAGGCAGGTTATTGAGAGCCAATGGAAGTGATCCTTGAAGTTTGAAACTCCAAAAACAATCTTTCTAATCCATTCAAGGATCTTCCCATCACCAACAGCAAGCAGTTTCCTGAAACAGCTCAAGCTGTGCAGAACAAAACAGGAAACACATTGACAGAGTATTAATCTAAAACCATGAAAATACTGTGAAACAGTCAAATAGTGATTTACAGTCCTCACTCTCTATATCTAAGTTACTACACTGGCTTCTGCCAGCAGCTCTCTGATTACAGACTAAGGTTCTTTGGTAAGAAT